GGACTCAATTTGCACTATTTCTGGCAGTCTGCAACCCCCTATAGTGAGCATCGGAGGGAGCTTGCCATCTCCCTCTTTGGCTCCGTCCACACTGGAGAAATAACCCGGTTTGAGTCCGCTGTAACTTCCCTGGCTAATTGCTATGGGATTCTGGGAAGTGGAGTTTGTTGTGGCCCCAACTAATTCCACTTCCCAGAATCCCATGGCATTGAGCCAAGGAAGTTACAGCAGCCTCAAACCGGGTTATTTCTCCAGTGTGGACGAAGCCCCAGCCCCCTTTGTACGTCTGGACACCGGGAGGATTCGCCCCACGGTTGATCTGAAAATGCTGCTCTTCAAAGAAAGAGAAACAGAAATAAAGTTTGGGACTAGGGAGAAAAGTTGGTTGAAAAGTCTGTGGTTGTGGTTGGGTATGCCTTCAAGTCATTCCCGACTTATGTCGAATCTCAGGTGAACCTATCCCAGGATTTTCTTGGCAAGTTTCTTCAGAGGAGGGTTGGCATTGCCTTCCTCTGGGGCTGAGAGAGTGTGACTTGGCCAGGGTCGCCCAGTAGGGTTTCATGGTTCAGTTGGATTTGAATCTTGGTCTCCAGAATCACAGTTCAGCCTCAAAGCACTACACCACACTGGCTCTTGGTGTGGGTGCAGCGCACCCTACCAGAAATAAATACATAACTGACCTCCATGCTCTCTGTCTAAAAAAACTTATTGGGTGCACCTCCATTGTAGAAATAATGCAGTGACCCCACTTTAACTGCTATGGCTCTGTCCAACAGAATCCCGGGAGTTGTAGTTTTGTGGAGCACCAGTACTCTTGGGCTGAGAAGGCTAGAGCCTTGTAAAACTACAGATCTCAGGAATCCTTAGAATGGAGCGGCAGCACTTAAAGTGGTGTCTAACTGCATTATTTCTATAGTGTAGATGCACCATTTGCAGCACCTCTGGGGAGTGACAGGAGAGGTGGGTTTTGTTTTTTAAGTGCATAATTGAACATAATAAAACCATTTGGATGGGGATGGGAATCATTGTAAGTGGTTGTTACAATGATGATGATGATGATGATGAAGAAGAAGAAGCTGAAGCAGAAGCTGATGGTTGGGTACTTTCCAGCTTCCACTGTCACAACCTAATGTTCGATTGTAGTCCATTTTCCAGGCTTAGTTGGGTGACAGCTGAAGTTCCCTTTTCTGATATCTTCTCCAACCTGGCAGCTACATATACAGTTACCCCTTCACATTTGCAACTTTTGCCAATTTGATTATTTGTGGTTTTGGTTAATATGTTCTTTCTAGCAATCTTTAGGTCTTCTAGTACAACTCTGCCAGATGTTGACCATAGAGTTGTGCTGGAGAACCTAGAAGTTCCTAGAGAAAACACTTCTCTAAGCATTTGTAGGTCCTCCAGCATGATTCTGTGATCAACTTCTGGCAGATGTTGATCAGAGTCGCACTGGAAGATCTGGAGATTCCCAAAGTGGTGTTCTCTCAGGTAAAAAGAATAGTGTTTTTTTATTTGCATTTTTCCACATTCACAGGAGTCCTTCACCCCTAAGCCCAGCAAATGTGGAGGGACAACTTTAGTATGGGAGATGATTTGTGTGTCTGGGGGAAAAGTGGGAGGAAGGAGAGAGGCATGAACTTCATGGTTGTTTTGCTGCTCAATCTAGCATAGACCTGCCCATTGCAATTCTAATACCACCACAGGTAGAATTTTTCTGTCTTCTCAGTTCACTTCTAAGTGTATTTGAAAGTACATCAGGAAGAACGGTGTGTGTGTTGTGGGCCTTCAAGTCATTTCCAGCTTAGGATGGCTGTAAGGCAATGGGGTTTTCTTGGCAAGATTTGTTCAGAGGAAGTTTGCCATTGCCTTCCACAGAGGCTGAGAGAGTGTGACTTGCCCATAGTCACCCAGTGAGTTTCCATGGCTGAGCTGGGAATTGAACCCTGGTCTCCAGAGTCATAGTCCAACATTTAAAACCACTATGCCACACAGGCTCCAAGAAGGGTACCAAACTGCCATAAGCAGTTTGTTGAGTTCAATGTCTTAGTGCTTGACTGGTTGGAAAATGCCTCAGATTTTTTGATGGTTCAGTAGAAGCAGTTTGGGTTTCCTGGTTTCTTTGGCTCTAGTGCAATTTAAGGCCTGGCTTTTCCTGCAGTGCCTTTCTGAAGGGCTTGTGGTGATCTCCTCCCTTTGCCCATCAAGAGCAGATGGTTAGCATCGGGACAAGAGCCAGTGGTTGCTGAATGGCGTCTGGTTTCTTTCACCTCCAAATGAAAAGCTAAGCATTTTTCCTACTTGCATGCATACTTCGCATACATGCAAAGGCTAGAGCCCATGTGTGGTAGGACTCGTGCTTTGCATGCCGAAGGGTGTAGGCTTCATCCCTGGCATCTCCAGCTAAGTTCAGGGACCCATTCACACTAGACAGTTATAGCACTATGATGCCTTTTTAATTGTATGGCCGCAGCCTATGGAATTGCAGTGGGTAGTTTTTTGAGGGCATAGTAGTCTCCAGCTGAGAAGTCTAAATGCTCATCCCTAAACTACAGACCTAGTATTCAGCACAATGTTCTCATGGCAGTTAAAATAGAAGGATAGTACTGTAAATGTGTAGTGCAAAAGGGAACCAGGAGAGACTCTTCTCTGAAAACCTCAGAGAGCCACAGCCAGGTATAGACTCCCTGTTGGACTTCAGTTTGGCTCCCATAGTGATGCTGGGAAATATGGATGTGTAGTTCCATGACATAGGATACTCCAGATGTGTAGTTCCTTGACATCTATACGGGTATACTGTCTCTGGTGCAAGCAGGTCTGATTTGGTATAATCCACCCTCTTAGGCAGCAAGATCTCAACACTACTTTTTAAAGTTTCCTTGAGATGGGGAAAGAACCCGAAATGGAAGAGGCAGGCAAGTTGTAAGCTGACTGGGCTCCTCAGTTCTTAAGAGATGAGCAGAGGTCAATTCCTGATAGCATACAGAATATCCCTGTTTGAGAGAGAGGACCAACTTTATGCCTAAAGTAAAAAGTGAAGAAAGAGCAGCAGGGAGAAAAGGAAGTAGAATGATGTAACTTACTGTGGTAGGATGCTTGGTTTCAGACAACCCTACTTCAGTTTCCTCTTGGTTATGCTTTAGTTGTTTTTAAAGAGTTTCCCCCCTTTTTCTCTGTTTTGCTGCTTCTAGTTTCCAAGAGTATTCTGCCAGTGGTCTGTCTTGATATAATGTCTAGCTTCTTTCCTTACCTTGGACCACAGGCATACCTGTGATCATATTCAGTGAGGAAAGCAGTGGAAAGCTAAGGTGCTGGAATTGAAGTGTTGTTTAAATATAAAGTGTCAAGGGTACACCTTTAAGGAGTTGCTGAGGAGTGAATGAGTAACAATGCTATTCTGTGCATGTCTGTTCCGCAGTAAATCCTGTTGAATTCCATGGGATCTAACTTCTTCTGGTTTCTGTAAATTGCAACACTCTTCCATCCAAAGGAAACATTTTCTGTTTCTTTCCTCATAAGAACCATAGTTTTCAGCTATGGAAGGGCCCTCAAAAGACAGTCTCTCTTTCTAGAGCAGGAATGGGGAGCCTCTGGCCTGTGAACCCAAGGCAAGTTTCCAGCCTTCTTAACCCAGAACCTGGCTCAGACCATATTCCTTCTCACTGACCTTGCTCTGAGTTATTGATAATATTTCTTCCATGCTACATGGTCCTCTGGTCAGAGATAGGAAACACTACATTTTTAGATTATAGCTTCCAGAATTGCCCAGCCAATTTGGCCAGGATGCCAATGGACTTTGCAGAGTTCTTGTCTCAATTAATGCAACGTAACACCACTTTAACTGTCATGGCTTCATCCAGTGGAATCTTGGGATTTATAGTCTGCGGTGGCACCAGAGCTCTCTGACAGAGAAGGCTTAAATAAATGACAGAGAAGACTAAATCCTAGAATTTTATAGCATTGAACCATGGCAGTTAAAGTGGTGTCAAACTTAACTAATTCTGCAGTATAGATGCAGTGTCAGTACAGTGTTATTTATTACAGCTTACAATGTGCATAGCTTAGGGTGTAGGTCTTGCTGGACTGGACCAGACTCCTGATGGGATTTTCACATGTTTGAATGTTCTTCCATAATTTATTTTCAGGGCCCCCCCCCACCTTTCTGCATATAGAATATTGGCATGGTTGTTAGAGCAGTAGAAGATGTGAAGTAATTCAGAGGAACAGGGCAGTTGGCATAGTAACTACAGTATACAGGTCTACTTAGAAGTAAGTTCTTTTAGATCATAGGGTTGAAAAGAAAGCCCAGAGGTAATTTGGTTTATTGTGCTGCCAGCAGAGGAAATCTGTCATTACAGTGTCCCTGCTTGGTTAGCCCCTTGTCTCTGATTAAAAAATCCACCATGTTATGGAACAGTTTGTTCCAAACTGTCAAGCAGCACTCTTTCTAATATTTAGTCAAATTCTTTTTCTGTTATTTCAATCTGATTTTTAAGAAACTACCCTCTGAAGAATTCAAAGATATAGCCGTGTTAGTCTGTAGAATCAGTACATAGAGAGTGCTTGCTACAAGATCTCTCTGAAGAAACAGAGAACAAATCTATTCTAGTCTTAATTTGTTGATGATGTACAAAGATTCAGTTGTCATATTGCCTCTTATCATCATAGATTCTCCAGGCTAAAATACCCCATTTGCTGAATGTATCCATTAAAAAAAATTCTCCAGGCAGCTCACCTTCCTAGTTACCACTGGATAAATTCTAGTTCATCAGTATCCTTAAATTGCAGTGTTCTAAACTTGAGAGAATACACTAGGTGAGAATTGCAGACCAAAGCAGACTTGTATTATGTCTTGCACTATGGACATAATATGCAAGCTTAAAATGCACTGGCCTTCTTAACCACCTCATCATGCTACTGACTCATATTTAGCTTGGCATCTACCTTAAGAAAAAAAAAAAACTAGAACTTTTCAGGATGTAGAGTACTGCTTTCAAGCCAGGTGTTTGTTACCTGTTCTGTATTTGTACATCTGATTCTGTCTATCGAAATACAACACTTTATATTTAGTCATTGAAATTCACATCTCACTTCTCTGGCTATTCAAGAGAGCATTTCATGGTGCTTATTCCCAAGCTGTTAAGTACAGGACTGAAGAACTTCAAAGTCTAGAACCCAGGGATATAGTTAAGGGGGAGAATTAGAGCATTGCCCTCAGTAAGAATTCTGCCTCTCCCATGAAATTTTCCTTCAGTCCCCAAATTCCTAGCATTGCAGTAACTTAAAACTTCAGTTGAGCATTTCAGTAATACAATGTAGGCATCCAGAAAAAGGAGCAGACAAAAGTTTCTTCTACACTGCAGAATTAATGCAGTTTATTGCCATTTTAGCTACCATGATTCAATGCTGTGGAATTCTGGAATTTGTAGTTTTGTGAGATATTTAACCTCTGTCAGAGAGCTCTGGTGCCATGCCAAATGACATATCCCAAGATTCCGTGGCATTGAGCCATGGCAATTAAAGTGGTGTTGAACTGCATGCAGATGCAGCCAAAGTTAACCAAGGGGATGTGAAAAGAGCAACTATTGGCCTTTGCAGACTGCTAGAAATAGTGCAAATTGAGTCCACTTTAACTGCCCTGGCTCAGTGCTAGGGAATCATGGGAACTGTATTTTTTTCTGAGACATTGAGCCTTCTCTGTCAGAGAGCTCTGGTGCCACAATAAAATACAGTTCCCATGATTCCCTAGCACTGAGTCAGGACAGTTAAAGTGGACTTAATTTGCACTATTTCTGGCAGTCTGCAAAGGTCTTACAAGAGTCCTAGGTGTGAATGATTTTCAATGTCCCACTCTCTGCAATGCTAGAAATTTAGAGACTGAAGGAAAATTTCATTAGAGAGCAGAATTCTTATCTGGAGGGGTAAAGTGCTCATCCTCTTCCCCTGATAGCAGGTCTAGGCCCCATTTCTAAGAAAAGACCTGTCGGTCCTTTGTCTAATAGGCCATTCTGAACAGCTAGTGCAAGAACACCATAACTGTTTTTAGGGTGGTGGTGGGGGATTGGCAAGCAGATTGTTATTAATTTGGCCTACTTGCAGAGGGCAGGGCAAGGTACTTTTCTGTCCATTATCATTCAAATATCCTTCAATATGAAGAGTCTTGCAAGCACAATATCTGCTTAGAAATGCCCTTCTTATGTTAAGTAAGTGCACAGGATAGACTACAGGCAGCCTTTATTATCCCAGGGGAACTTGACAACAATTTATTATTCCCAGGGCTTGCTCCTTCACTTAGTACCCTTCTGACAGATCAATATTTGAAGAGGCTCAACTATTTACCAACTCTGGTGCTCTAATTTTGCATGATAATGGGGTGGGGGGTGTCAGTCACTCCAAGCCTTGTCTTAGTGGTGGCTTAAGCCCCCCCTCCCCTCATTCCTGGGCCCATGAGCCAGTGAAAGGATCAGCTGGGTATAGAAACAGAAGCAATAAAATCCCATGTGCTGTTGTTGTTGTTGTTGTTGTTGTGTGCCTTCAAGTCATTTCCAACTTATGGCAACCCTCAGGAGAACTTATCATGTTTTTTTCTTGGCAAGATTTGTTCAGAGGACGTTTGCCATTACCTTCCCCTGAGGCTGAGAGCATGTGACTTGCCCAAGGTTACCCAGGTTTCATGGCCGAGCTGGAATCAAGCCCTGGTCCCCAGAGTCATAATCCAACATTCAGACCACTATGCCACATGGCTCTCACAGGCAGCTGCATTTCAAGCTCTGTGTCTGTTTGACAGTGTCCCTCTGGATGTTGGTAGACTACTGTACAACTCCCATCATCTCGAGCCAGCATAGCCAATGTGGAGGAATGCTGGGAGTTGCTAGTCCAACAGTGTCAGAAGGGCCATAATGCTGTTGCGGTCAGAGAGAGAGCTGACGCCAATACATTAAGTGTAGCCACATCCTGTTAAAAGAGGCTTCTTGTTGCCTTCACCCAACTGAGAAAG